AGTTTACTCTGACTGATATTTACTGGTGTGTATTTTTCTGTAATTTTAGAAAGATAGAGAACCCGAAGGTGTTCCTTTGGATTTACGTGTTAAAAAGACAGTTAATCCTGTGACAAAGATTGTTGAAGAAATCCAAGAGTTGGCAAGTGGCTTTGAGACTTATTTTTTCTGTCCAAATAAAATATTTTGTTTCCTAGTACCTTCTCTTGCCTCTCTCTTGTGGAAGTGCAATCTTTTTTGATTGGCCAGGCAAAAGTAAAGAATGGAAATAACACAGGCTGAAGAAGTAAATGATTTGAAGTGTGTTAGCCTGAATTGTAGCTTTTCCAGTAATAAAATTTTGTAATAAGATGTTGTTACAGACTTCTTAAGGCATTTGAAGTTGGGTTTTACATGATGGAGTTACATGCTAGAGTTACATTAGTAATCAATGTATTTAAAGTAATGAAATGCATTCGAAAAAAAACAAAACAGGCAGGGATATGCAGAATTTTGTTCCTTCTTTGTCAAAAATATTAGATTGGGCTGGGAAGAAATGAGAATACTATTCTTGAGCACCTTGAAAGAAGTCAAAGCAAAGCCCATTGCAGTTTGTCTGATTTTTGTCATTTGTACCTGCCTTGGTTTTTCCCTGGCCAGAGACATTGTGTTGTGTTCTTGGGCAAGACACTTTACTCTCACAGTGCCTCTCTCCACCCAGGTGCACAAATGGGTACTGGCACATTTAATGCTGGGGGTAACCCTGCAATGGACTAGTGTCTCATCCAGGGGGGAGTATAAATAGTCCTAGTTGCTTCATGCTGCAGAAACCGGGATAAGCTCCAGCCTGACGGGCCACTTGGCTCGTATGCAGACTCTACCTTTAGCTTTTGAGATATTCTTTTATCTAATATAATTGCATATTTTTCAAAACATAATATTTATGAGGCATTCTACTTTTTGTCCATTAAATAGAATCCTGTCTGGATTGAAGATGTGCAGTTTTTGCCATACACCCCTCCTCCCATGCAGCTATCATCTGCCTCTGCTGTGGATCATGGCAGCATGGAAGAATGGAGTGAGAGAATATCATTTATTAATGAAGACTTAAAATGGCTCCTGAGTCTTCCACACAACAGGTTTTGGTGTCAGGTACTTGAATGATTATATTTTAAACGTGCAACATAACAGCTAGTATATTTTGAAAGGTATAACCAATTGAAACTATTTCAAGACTGTAGTTTATTATTATTGTAATAATAATAGTTTATTATTATTTTGATAATAATAAACTAATAATAAACATTACTTAAAAGTAATATTTAAAGAACGAGCAGCAGTGTTTTATCAGATTTGAAACACAAGGGGTAGCTGAGTGTTTTAAACCTGATAAAACACATGCTTCGAGTTTTTTGAACAGCTTCAAAAACGTTTGTGGTAGATCTACTCATTTGTAGAATAATCCTTGGGTTTATTACTATTTTTTGGAGAAAATCAGCTGCAAAATTTAGCCGTGTCTGTATCAAATTTAAAGACACTTTCTTTTGTATTTCCTTAATGAATTATGAATTTTTTAATTTTATTTTTTTGATTTGCCACACAAACAAAAATAGAATTACAGTACAATGATTAATAAATTAAAAAAATTAATATACAAGATTATAATGAACATATAAAACTACAATTTATATATTAAGGGATAGAAAACAAAATGGCGAGGAAACTTAATAAAAACCACGGGGTTTATAAGCTTAGGTTCCCTCTCAAGAAACACCAGATGACTAATTTAAATTTTTGAAGCTACTATTATCCCTATTTCAGTCTTTCCCACTATTACCATCATTGTTTATTTTTCATACATATTTTCTTCTTCATAGCATACTACAAACAGTATTCTATTGACTACTTGATACAATATGTAATAAAGACTTTATAAGAATTCTGTATCATTTTAGGTGATATTTGATGAAACTTTACAGCAGTGTCTGGATTCTTACCTTAGATGTGCCCCTAGGTAAATAATACATTTTGTTTATTGTGCATTTAGTCATGCCTTAAGTAATTTAAAAGTCTGTTAATGAATCTAGTGGCTTGTTAGATAAGTGCTTCAATATCTTGTGTCAGAAAATGATTGTGGACTTACTTCTACTGAGGTGGAATTTTTTATATCACTTCGGGATTGACAAGTCAGGGCTCGACTTTCAGGAATAACCCTTGGGGCCAGCTGGCGCCCAAGTTTTTAGATTTAGCTGTCAGCAAAAGTATTTCAGTGAAAGGCATGAAAAATTATTCGCCAGTGAAAAAAGTCTGGTCACATTGGCAACCCTAGCAGTCATAATGTCGAGCTCTGCAAATCATAGGAGGGTTGAGAAACAGTCAATTTTGTGACACAGATTTCGGTCACAACGATGGTCTATGTGGCTTTCCTGATGTTTTCATTCTCCACGAAAATACCTAGGTATTCTGTGTGGCATCATTATCTGCAGGAGAACTGAGTACTACAGTAAAAATAACTTGAACAGGTTTGCTTTGGGAATGAGTTCTTTGTTTGGGATTAACTTTCATACTCTTTGTCCTCACTTGGTTGTGGATGATAATTTTTTAAATGAAGATAGCTTTGACTTTTTGCTATCTGCTATCAGAAACTTTGATGCTTCATCAGTCCTTCCCCCAGAACCAGCCACTCTCCATGAAAACGTCCACAAAAGAGTGTTCATGACATATCTCAGGATGTCAACACACAAGGAATCCAAGGTAAATATACTGGCTTGTTACAAAGTTTTGAAGCAGGCGGCCTTATTCATTGTTGTAGAAGGCAGCAGATTTTGCCATCTTTTCTTAAGAATCAGTAGAATAGTTCAGCAGAGTTGCTTGCAGAGATCATAAAGTAGATGGTGATTTTCATCACAGCTATCTACTTTGGACAGTCTTGAATATGTAGAAAATTAATGTTGCATGGCAACATGAAGATAAGAAAAATGTTTTATTATTTGAGTGGGAAAATAATGCAGTATTTTACAAGTAAGTGCAGTTACCTAAAAGAAATAATCTTGCAAAAGTAAGAAATGGTGTCATTGACGCGCTTGACATTGAAGACATTAGGGCCCCAGAAAACTACTTACAGTACAATACTTATGCACCTCACAAAATGCTTGCAAACATTCCTTACGATGCAAATTCTTGCACAACATGCCATTTGTTTACAATGCATTATTCACGCTTCTCACAGTTTGTTAGTAGTTTCACACATGTGGTGTATATATTTATAAATTATGGTTTAAAAGAGTTTCCACTGGGTCGGGAAGATTTTCAAATTATTAGATTCTGCAGTGAGAATTAGACTTAGACTTTATTAGACTTAATTACAAGTCGTCTAGACCTTCCACTGAAACACTCCTGGCCATAATAAATTTAGGAGGTTATACATTATTTTTCATTTTTTGCTGTTTTTTTTAGAGGGTAATTTTAATTTCCTAAGCTGAAAGCAGGAAGGAATAAAAAACTAGGGTTAACACTAGTGTTAACACCAAAACTGGGTTAATGCCCACCATAAAAATTGTTTGTTCTGAAGAACTTCAACTGCTTTAGCATGTTACATTCAATAGGCCATTTCCGAATTTACTTTGTGCATCTGTTTCAAAACAAGTCCTTGGGCAAAACCTTTTATGTGAAAATGAGTTTCATTTGCATGAAAATGAACCTGTAGGTGGAATGCATTTTCATATGAATGGTTTTGCACAAAGACTCATTTTGATTCAGAGGCAAAAGACAACTTGAGAAAGGCCTATTTTGCCTTGCCGTGTGTTGTTTTTCATTCACATTACCTTTCTCTGCAGGAGGACTTCTTTACATTGAGCACATTTGGAGATATTCTTTATGAGAACTTTTTATTTGATATTCCAAAAATCATGGACATTTGTGTCCTCTATGGAGGGGAGAACAGCACAAATACTCCACTTCTCAGGAAAATGCTGGAAAACATTTTCTCCAAACAACCCAAGTGAGGCTAATTTAAGGTTGTTTTTGTTTTAGCTTTTGATTGTTTAATGGCTAATTTACAACCTATGCTGTCATCCACCATGACAATAAGTTTCATGTGATTAACAGGACTGTGGATTTGTTTGCTTCAAAACACCACACAATGATTTCACCCAGGGGTTAATCATGGTTCAACCACAAATTCATGATATTGAGTCTTTAATCAGGCCACAACTTTTCCCAATTACTGGCATTCTTTGAAATACCTAGAAGTTTAATCTTGTGGCAGAATCACTATGGACTCTGCTCTTGATGCTTCATTTCTGCACCTGGTTGATGTTTCTGTTTTTGTTTTCTTCAGGTATCATGGCGACCTTGATGCAACAATCCTAACAATTTATGAAACGTTAGATGATATCTTGTCAAGATGTGGAATTAAACATAAAACTGAAGACCCTTCAAATCTTCCTCTAAAACTTAGTGATGCAAAGAATGGCCCAAAGGTGTCCTTGACC